AGGTAAGTTTTAGGATAAGTAAACTTAAAGTGTAAAATATATATAACCATTTTAGAAGCGGGTTTTGGGTTTGCTTTCTCCCCCTGCTTTATTGGGGAGGACTTGCCATTGCTTTTATGAAGTGCTTGCTAGCCATGGATGCCAACTAACTTCTTCAATTGAAGGCCGGAGGATCATGTCTGGTTCCAGGAGCTGCTTGAGCAAGTCCTGGCATTCGGCCGAGATGCCCAGATGAGTGGGTAAGGACACCCCCTTCTGCTGCTGCCACAGCATCTTGGGGATGTCTGTGTCATCAAAAGGTAGGCTGGCACAGAGCATCACGTAGAGGACGACGCCCATGCTCCAGACGTCACCCTTCTTGCTGTCGTGGGGAATACCCTGTAGCACCTCAGGGGCGGCATAGGCCGTGCTGCCACAGAAGGTTTGGCTCAGCTCCCGGCGTGACTTGGGCAACACCTTGGCGAAGCCAAAGTCAGTCAGTTTCAGGTTGAAGCCCTGCAACAAGGCATTCTCACACTTGAGATCCCGGTGGGCCACACCGCAACTATGGCAGTAGCGGATGGCCTCAACCATCTGACGGAAGAGGGCCTTGGCCTGGCTCTCAGGCAGTGGTCCCCCATTCAGCACGCAGTCAAAGACATCCCCTCCTTCAGCCAGCTCCATCACCAGGTAGATTTTCCCGTCGGCAGACTCCAGCATCTCATACACCTGGATGATGTTCTTGTGGTCCAGGGTACGGACAATTTGGAGCTCCCGAGGCAGGAATCTCTGGATAAACTCTGAGGAGACAAGGGAAAAAGAGATGGAGTATCAAGTCCAGAGAGGCCTAACTCCTCCCCGCTGTCTCCTGCCTTCCAGCATCTGCCTGCCTGCAGGCCCACCATGTCTGGGTCTAGTATCTTGGTTCTGTTATTTTAGTAGTTAATGTATTATTCAAAGGAAATACTCCTTGCCAACCTCAGGGACTGTTGTGAGTAGCCTGTAAGACCACGGACATCCAAGTCACTGTGGGAGTTTTAGACAAAACCATCGAATCTCAGTTATGAGGCCTGATTTTCCCACAGCTTGATGAGCCAGTTCCTCTCACCCCTGCCTCCTGACCCACAGTTCTTTCCATAAGTCCAGTCCCATTTCTACCTTCCTGTCTCCACACTAGTTCCTGCCCTCTGGTAGCCCTGGCCATGGCCTCTGACAATCTGTTCCTGTGGCAGACTCAGGTTCTGCCTCTGAGGCTCCTTCACCACCTGGCATTTTTTTAATCTTGGATTTTGGAGAATATGGTATTTCTGGACTCCCAGCATCCCTCTGTTCCCCGCTGATCTACTCCAGAGCCACAGTCTTGCTTTCCTTGGTTCCAGACTCAAGGGGAAGAGGGAATGATCCTTCTGACCAAAGGAAGTGCCCACCCACCTTAGCCAGCCCACCCCTCCTCCAGAGGGGACCCAGCTCACCTTCTGGCCCTCCCATCTTGTCTATAATTTTAATTGCCACCTTTCTTTGGTGTTTTTTGGAAAATGCTTCTTTGACTTTTGAGTAGGTCCCTTCCCCAATGGTCTTGCCCAGCTGGTACCCATTGGAGAGCAGAAAGTCCTCCATGCTGTCTAGCGCCTCCTTCCTTCCTATCACCCTCTCAGCTCATGCTGCCTCTGTGAGGCAGCTCTACTCCACCATCGCCCTTGGCCGGGTCCTTTTCCCCCCAAGGACTTCATCCGCAGCGGCCCCCAGCGCTAGAACATTCTCCGTCTGGACACAGCAGCCGCAGGTGGTGGAGAGTGAGAGGGCCAGACATTTTAAAACTCTGGCCCAATTGTGATGTAAATGTTGTATGACCCTTGTCCAAAATGGGTACCCCTACCTGTCCTCACCAGCACCACCACCAAAACCAGCACTAGTTAAGTCACTGCCGCACCCCCGCCCCCACGCCAGGCAGAGGTTTGCGGCTCCGCCTGGGGTGGGGGGAGCACTCCGGGTGTTGGCGCTGCCCAGGATGCCAGCTTCCTTTTCATGGACACCGCCTGGTTGTCGCCGTCACCTGTGCCCCTATCAGCAGCTGGGGGTCTGCACCACCCGGTCTTAAGGCGCCATGGCGAGAGCCCTCCAGCTTCCCGCTTGCAGCCGCGCTAAGTGCTGGGGCGGCGTGGGGGAGTTCCCTGGCGAGAGGAACGGGTTCTGTGAGGTCAGCGCGCCGAGGCTCCGGTCACAATGCACCCCTCCCCCTCGAGGCCCGGGCCCGCGCGCCGCAGACACCTGCCCGGCCCCGCCTGGACCGAAGCATCCTCCCGCGGCCAGGGCTCAGGCAGCTGCTTCCAGCCTGGGACCGGCCTTGGCCTCCGGCAAGTGAGCAACGACCCAGGGGGTGGTACTGGGTGTGGGCACCCGGCGGCCCAGGAGCTGCCTGACTGCCCATCCCTACGCAGAGTGCCCCGGGGCCTGGACATGAGTGCCCAGGAGCCCCCGCAGGGTCGGAGATTCCCCATTGAGGCCGGAGACTCCCCTGGCCTTGCCGCCGCCCCTGAGTCCCAGGACAGCCCGGAGCCGGTAGCTACCGAGCACAACCCAGTCAGGTGAGCCAGCGCCCTTCTCACGGCCACTCCGGTGTCCTGGACAGCTCTCAGCCTGCTCCCCATCCCACTTTCCATCCCCAGACTGCCCCCTACCCTGCCCCCGGTGAGGGCCCCACTTCCACGCCCGAACTTTGGGGACTCCCGGTGCATTCCCCGCAAGCGTCCCCAACAGGATGGGCCGGTGCCCTCCTCAGAGCCCCCTGTCGCGCCACTTTCTCCAGGCCGCTTCGACGCTGCCCCGGCTGCCACTGCCTGACGCTGCTGCACGTGCCCATCGACGTCTACCTGGCCATGGGCGGGAGCCCCCGGGCCCGCGCCACCTGAGTGCGCCTGCGCACGGCGGCTCCGCGGGAGCCGGGCGGGGGCGAGGCCCGCTGCGGGCCACCACGCTGAGGTCGCGCGCGCCGAGCACGAGACAATGATGCACATTTTAAAATAAAAGAATGATGCACATTTTAATAAAGCACAGCATAAACTGTTCTTTCCACTCCGGCCTGGCCGTGTGTGTCTGTCCCGTCGGATCGGGCCCTCTGACTGCTCCATCCCATCCTATAGTACCTTCCCTTCTGCCTCCTCACTTGGATCCAGCCCCAGTGCCAGCCCTTCCTGGTCCGATTTCTTCTGGCCAGGCGCCAATCCCTTTCCCCCATTTCTTGCTGCTCATGACCCCTTCCGGGACTGCTCCCTCAGGGCCCTGCCTTCATCATTCCCCACCCGCCCACTCCCTCTCCTTAATTCTCCTGTGGAAATCGTATTTCTTTCTGGACTCTGGGGGCCCAGAGAAGCTCGGGATTGGAGAGAGTGGGCAGACAACTTAGAATAAAGAGAATGACCACACTACACACCAGGTTCATTTAATTCTCCCAAGATGGAATTAGGTTTTGCTACCTACTGTTTTGTGACCCTGGACACCACTGGTTTTGTTAGAACAGTTTAGGGGCTGCCCTGTCCATCCTGAGCCTTGTTTTTTCCTAGCACTGGTGGCACCAGAAAAAGATTGGGGAAGAAGTTTGAAAACTTATTTCCTATTCCTATTTTACGGGTGAGGGAACTGAGCCTTGAGAGACTTGCTGGGGGTTCTACAGCTGATAGGTGATGCTAGCACACTCCTGTGTTCTCAGACTTAATGCCCTAAAAGCCAACCGTAGGAGGGGCTCAAGACACGAAGCTGACTGGAAGTGTAATATTTAAGTTGAATGAGTATTTTCCACTTTCTAATTTTGATTTAATGAACCTATGTTATTTCAATATTGAAATATATGTAACACAAAGATCAGGTTCAGGCTCCTGTCCCCTGAGACTTAAGTACAATTCACTCAGTGTCTTTCAAAAAAAAATAATAATAATAAAAAATAATAATAATACCCCTTTCCTAATCCACACTGAGTAGAAGCCCAAGACATTCCAAGAGCACTTCAGAATCCCATGTTCACTCGAAAGGTGACTTCTTGACTTCCACATAAAATGCTCTCTCAGGCAGTGCCAAATGTAGGAGGCTTATTGAAGGAGCGGATGTTTGCCAAAAAGAGTCTACTTTGAAGTGAAGACTTTAGACTTGACCATTCAGCTCCTGGTCCTTTAAACATCCTGGCTCTTGAAAGCCCCTCCATGCCCATCTTTCCCATTCACCAAAATAATCTCTGGCTTCAGGCCCTAGTGCTGGCTTCTCTCTCCTCCCTCACCCTTACCTCCTAGAGAACACCTCAGAGATTCTCAGTTCTTCTATTAAGTGAAATAATTCAGCTGTTTCCATCCCCACCAAACTCTATGCAGGCCCTACTCAGCCTAACAACTCATGCTACTGCTCTGCAGAAAAAGGGCCTCCTTCCCCGTAAATAGTACTCACCGTCTTCAGGAGGCCATTGTCATTTTAGAGAGAAGAAAATTACTGGGCTCTATATTGATAGGGTCTCTCTATTGCAAGCAACTGGTTAGCTTAAGCAAAAAAAAAGCAATTGTTTAAGTGGCTGGGAAGGATATAAGCTAGTGATTAAAAGAAGACCTGTAGGAACTAGGACATCTGTCAGTCTGGAACCAAGGATTCAACCCCACAAGGACTGCCCCATTGCTCCCCTCTCAACCGTGATTATCTCCTGGGCAGGGAACACGGCTGCAGCATGTTCCAAGAAGGGAGAGGTGTTTTCTTCCAGTCTCTGTATACCTTCCTCTGGAGGGACATTAATGGGCCCTTCTCAAATCACATGCACACTCCTTGGGCCAGTTACCATTGTCAGGGAGATGGGAGACTATAATTGACCAGACTGGGCCACACGTAAGCCTTCCCTTGAGGTGCAAGCACAGCCAAGTGATTGACAGAATCACCGGAAAATAATGGGTAAAGATGGAAAAAAAATATTCCAGAAGCAGAGACAGCTTATGCAAAGGTTGGAAGCCTGGGTATGCCTGAGAGAAAAAGAAGCCTAAAAAGAAGGGGTAGAGAGCAGCAGGTACCAGGTTGTCGACTCTGTTCCATATCAATAAGGAGCCTTGGCAGTGTGACCAGGTGTCAGTCCTGTGGGTTCTAGTACAAGCTTTGTCCCTGACTCAGACAATATAGGTCTGCCAGGCCTATGCAGGGCATTGGGGATTCAGTGGTGAACTTGACTGCCATGGGCACTGGTGCTCATAGAACTCACGAGGCCTAGCAATGACCTACTGGGAGGCCTCACTCCGGCAAGACGCTTCCTTCAGGGTCCATTTTCCTCATTGGTAATAAAAAAATAAAAAGGCACCAGCTGATCTCTCCCGACCTTGCTAGCCTCAAAATGTTCTTTCCCATTCTTCCTTTCTCTCCCTCACTTTCTTTGTTTCATCTTCTCAACTCTCCTTTCCTTTAAAAAAGATTTATTGCCATCTCCCATGTGCTTGGGTGGTGAGGGATGCAAAAATTCCAGACATACATACACATTGTCAATGGGCCAGACCCTGGAGTTAGTTAGCTCAAGAATGTCCATGAGCAGGGGAAAGGGCATTTCAGGTGGAAAGAATACTGTGGGCGAAGATATGGAGGCAGGAAAGTGGAGGGCAAATTTAAGGAATTCAATCAACTTCACCAAATACTTACCTGGGCCACACCAGGTGTTAAGAGCCCAGGCCTGAATCTGACAGATAGATCCCTTGCCCCTGAGAGCTCAGAACTCGGGGGATCTAGGGATGAGTTCACAGAAGAGAAGCTAGATCAAGGAGGCCTTGAGTTTCTACTTTGTTCTGTAGGTGACAGAGAGCATAACAGGCTTCAACCTGGGTCATTTCTCTCTCCTCTCATCTCCTTTTCCATTCTGTTCTCTTTTGCTTCTTCCTCTTTCCTCCTGGAAAAATTGCTGGCTTAAACTCTAGTCTTGGGTTTGAGTCCTGACTGCTATTTACTAGCTGTGCAATTTGGGGCTAGTTACTTAACTTCCCTGAGTCTTCACTTCCAAATCTGAAACACGAGATTAATGACATCTGGTGGAAGGTTTCAGTAAAGTCCTGAGTACAGCACCAGGTAGGAATCTCTGGAACACCTAGCATTTGATGAGCAAGAGAGGCTGCTGTTGTTGCTGTTGCTGCTGCTGCTGCTCCTACCTTTGGCTTCCAGGGGCAGCAGAGAGCCAGCTAGTCATGTCCCCAGGGGCTGGGTGCTGCCCAGCCTTGGAGAGCATTGGGGAATCCCTCTTGCCTCCCTCTGCCAACTTCCCATCAGTTCTGCTTAGAAGCCTAGGAACTTGATAGGGGGGCATGTCCAGGGGAATCCCCAGGTGATAAAAGCAGAGCTGCCTCCCTCACCCTAGAGGGTAAAGCTGTTCCCAGACCCCAAAGTTGGACCCACAGATCCCAGTCTTATTCTCTGAGCCTGAGGAACGGGGAGCAGCCCAGGAAAAGGAGGATGCTCAGATCACTGCCTTCCCTGACTTCTCTCTCAGACATCTTATTAACCAGCCCCTCCCCAAGGGGCCCTTTTTAGAAGGAGGGGCAAAGTACAAATGGACCCCCCAGGTTACCATGGAGATGGCAGGAAAAGGGTGTGTGTGCTGTATCGCCATGGCAACAATTGATATCAGTGCTACCCTTTCCCACTGCTTGATATGATGGGGGAGAGCCACCCCAACCATGGGCAAGTGCCCCACAAAGCCTCTTCCCCTTACTGAGCCAATCAACCAGGGGGTCTAGAGGCTTAATATAGTGCAGGAGTTAAAAGGCACAGACTCTGATGTCACTCATACCTTGGTTCCAATCCTCATTTGGCCTCATCGTAGCTGTGTGAATTTGAACAAGTTCCTTAACCCCTGGAAGTCTCCTATGTACAACATGGGTACATAAGTTGTGGGCTTCCAAGAGTTAGTGTGAGGATCTCGGGGGATCATGCAGGTAGTTAGGCATTGGACCAGCTTGTAGGAAACGTGCACTGACATTAGGGACTGTCAAGAGTCCTGGGACCTGTCAGGAAATTCTGGTACTTCAGATATAGACTCATAGCCTCTAGAAGGCTCCCAAGACTGCTAAGGATTAGGCCTCTAAGATTGACCATCTCAGAATGTGGGGGTCTTAGGTTGAAGCCAGAGACAGTGGAATTTCCAGACTCTGAGGAAACCCCAGATGTCGTATCCGGACTCTGACTCAACTTCCTCTTTCTCCTCCCCTCTGCCTCCTCCTAGGCCTTCTTAGCAGCCTTCTACCTCTTGGGCCTCCATCTGCTTTTCTAGGAAAAAGTATGGATGAGGACACTGGAGAAGACATCAGGTTATGCAACGCCAGGTAGACCAGTGGGTTGGACACCACAGGGATGTTGGTGTCCCAGCTCCCACTGGCTTCTCCCTGCCCATTCTTGGGGTAAGTGCACCAGAATCGTTCTCATTCCCTCTCTCTTCCCCAGCTCCCAATCCAGGTGACCACAGTCCATTCTGCTCTAATTCTACTGCCACCTCCCTGAATCAGGCCTCCATCACTACTCATCTGGATTACTCCAGCAGGCCCCTAACCAGTCTCCCTGATTCCTTCCTCATTTGATTCCTCCAGTCCAGAATTATTGTATAAAGACTGCAAACCCAGCCATGTCATTCTCTTATTTAAATCTCATCAATGGCTTCTTTCCATCACTTGTCCAGCCACCTGGACACCCCTCAGCTCTTCATAAAACATTCTTCCCACTTTTAAGCATGCTGTTCCTTCTGCCTGGAATAGCCTGCCTCCCAATCTTACCCTTCAGACCTTCACCAATTGTCATTTCTCAAAGAAGGCTCCTCTGACTATCTGTCCTTCCCCTCCAATGGGACCTACTTGCCCCACCATGTACTTACCTACTCCTTTAACCCTGTTGAATGGCTGCCTGCCCCATTACACTATGGACTCACTGAGGGCAGGGGCCTCTGTCATATTCATCCTGACATCTCCAGGGCCAAGAATGGGAGGGCTCAGGAGTCTGTGATTAGCCTTCCCCTCTGACTATCTGTCCTTCCCCTCCCATGGGACCTACTTGCCCCACCATGTACTTACCTACTCTCTGACTATCTGTCCTTCCCCTCCAATGGGACCTACTTGCCCCACCATGTACTTACCTACTCCTTTAACCCTGTTGAATGGCTGCCTGCCCCATTACACTATGGACTCACTGAGGGCAGGGGCCTCTGTCATATTCATCCTGACATCTCCAGGGCCAAGAATGGGAGGGCTCAGGAGTCTGTGAATGTCTGCAAATTAAACTTGCTAGTGAATGACTGCTTGATAAATCCACAGAGGAGAGGCCACAGTGCTGTGAGGAGAAGGAAAAGCAGAGCGAGCTGGGAGGGTCTGGAATGGCTTCTCTAAGGAACTGACACTTGAACTGAGATGAGAAGCAGTTACCCAGGCCAAGATATGGGGGGTGGGAAATGTCCTAGCACTGAGACTGTCACGTGCCATGGGTGAACTTGATGCTGAAGACACTGTGCAGAGGGACATACTCATGTTTTGGAAAGACAACCCTGGCTGCTTGGTGGGAACATACCATGTAAGAGATTGAGAGTGGCAGCAGGTAGACAATTTAGGAGGCTACTGCAGCGATGGGGCCTTGGACCAGGTGTTAGCAGTGGAAACGAAGAGAAGCAATGGGATTTTTAAATACATCCTGAGAGGACAGGATTTTCATAACTGCTTAAATATGAAAAGGGAGAAAACAAGAAGAGTCTAGAAACAAACCCAGATTTCTAGCTGAGGCAACTGAAAAAACAGCCAAGCTGGGGAACATGAGAGGAAGGGCAGGTGTGGGGTATGCCTCCTGTGAGGTGGAACGTCCAGGAGGGAGGAGTACAAGAGACAGGTATGGGGCAGGGAAGAGGTCAGGCCTGAAATAGAGAAGTGAGTCTCTGACACACCTGGACACCAAAGGCATGAGAACCAATGAGATTCCCCTGGGACAGACTGTAAAGAGCCCAAGAACACCCATGTTTAGGTAGTGAGCAAAGGATGAGAAATTTGCCATGTGGCAGCAATCAGAAAGATAGCAAGAAAATCAAGAGTGCACAGTGTCCAGAAAAACAAGGGCACAAAAGTACTTCAAATAGGAGGGAGTATTTGACTGTGTCCAAGTTGCCACTGCTAAGGGGTCAAGTCAGATAAAGCCTTGAGAGCATCCCTTGGATTTAGCAACAAGGTCAGTGGTGACCTTGACCATTCCTATGGAATGGTGGGGGAGGAAGCCCGCTTGCAGGGGTTGAGTGAGTAAGTAGAAACAGCGTGTGTACACAACTCTTTCAAGAATGTTGGCTGTGAAGGGGAGCTGGAAGAACACGGGGCTGAAGAAGGGCTTTCTTCTTTTGCAAAGATAGGAAAGACTAGAGCCTATTTGTTTGGGTTAGAGGAATCAGGGAGGGAGAGGTTGGAGACAGGGAAAAGGGGAAGTGATAAGAAGAGGGAAATTCCCCAAGGATAGAAAGCAGATTAAATCCTCAAATATGACTACAAAACTAGGGGCAAGTCGGGACCCGTACTGGACTCTGGGGGCTCAGAACAGCTGCCCACTCTCCCCAGCAGCCAGTGTGAGTCACTAGGGGGGAAATAGCCCAAACTGGCAATGTGGGAAAGGGAGCTAGGCCAGCACAGTCCTCAGAATCCCAAGGGGTCAGAGAGCAGGGCCCAGCCTGGGCTCTGAGACCTGAGCCCTGAACTCCATGCTCTGAGCAGATCAAGGGCACAGAGGGGTTGTCATACCCTTTGTGTGGGGTAGGCAGAGTAGTAGGAAGCCTGGGTTTTATTCGGCTTTTCTTTGCCCCTCTCTGAACCTCAGTTTCTCTTTCTGCAAAAAGAGCAGGTTAGACCAGATCAAGAACTTCTTTTGGCGGGGAGAGGGGAGGATAGGTGTCAGGAACCCTTTCTAGATTCTTTCCGGAAATATGTGTGTTTGGAACTATGCCCTTTAGGGGGAACTGAAGCTACTAGAAACTCGTTCCTGGCCTCCAGATAAGAACTTCTGAACTGGAGCTGGCTAAAAAGCCTTATGCCTGACATTTAAGAGTGCCCTGGAGCAAGGGAAAAGGCTCTTACAAGGGCTATGCAGGGCAGAGGTCCATGTCTCCTAAGCCTGGGAGCAGGGAGGCCTTTTGAGGTGTGGGTTCTACCTGAGCACACGGTCAGATTGTGTGAGTGAAGGCATGGAGGCCCCTGGGTGGAATACGGAAGAGTTTATCCAATCCTCAACTGACCTTCCTGCCCTCAGCCCCGTCTTCCTGCCTCTGCCTGTCCTTGCCCTTCTGTCTTTGATCCTGGGGGAAGTGTCTCAGGGTCTCCTCAAGATCAGGTGACCAGGCCCTCCCATTGAAGCTGCTGGTGAAAGCAGACAGCTGGACTAGACCCCACCAGAGGGGCTGGCGCTGCCCCACCTCGCTCTGCCAGCTGAGGTCTCCTGCTAAAAACAGCCGGTCCCCAGGGGACTATGGGCTTTCAGGCCTCCCCCTCCACGCCCGGGTAGGTATAAAGAGGCCAAAACCGGACCAGGCAGCCTGGACACCATGCTATTCCCTGAGACAGCCCACTTCGTGATGAACTTTCTTCTGTCCCGGTGAGGGGACACGGGAGGAGGCGCTGGGGGTGGGGTAGAATCAAGGGCCCTGGTCTGGTGGGGAGGGAAAAGATACCCAGGTCCTTGAGAAGGCCCCGATGGGGGCTTCCAATCCCCCTCCCTGTCCCTCTAAATCGACCAGAAGTGGCTCTGGCCCTCGCCTTGCCGCTTCTAATCCAAGGTGGCCCCTTCCTACCCGCTCATCGTGCCCTCCATGGGTGTCTGCTGCCCCATCTCCCCGCAGGCGGCCCCGGGCCACGCCCCCACACCGCCTGGACCAGGAGTTGTGTTTCTGGGGCTGCCGGGGCCCGGCCTTGCCAGCGCCCGCCACCCACCGCAGCCTGGGCGACTACTGGCTGAGTCCGCAGCGCCGCCGCCCGCCGGGCGCCGCCTGGCGCTGGCCGGCGCGCAAATTGCTGCTGCTGCCGGGGGCCACCGGCCTGGCCGACGTGCCCTCGGCGCGCTGGCCCAGCTGCTACGCCGTGCGCCCGCGCCTCACGTGAGCGTGCGAGACCGAGCGGAGAATCGGGAAGGGGCGTGGCCTATTGCCGGGGGCGGGGTCTGCGGGAAGGGGCGGATCCCCAGAGCTGAGGGCCGGTCAGGGGGTTGGATAGACTGGGCTTGACGGTTCCTGGGAGCGGAAGGGGGGGGTCAGAACTGGGTGTGAAGGGTGGGGCCTGAAGCGACTGAGCGCGGAAAAGGGGCGGGGCTAGGCGGAGTGGCCGTGGACTCGGAGGGAACGGAAAGCCTTGTCCCCATCCCGTCTGCTCAATTTTCCCTCCTTCTAGGTGGCAGCACCGGTGGCAGAATATTAACTACCAATTCCTGGGCAAGAGGAAGAGACATCTAGTTCCCTTGCGCCCGTGAGAACTGGTGAGGGATGGGGCCCGAAGAGGGCGCGACCTAGGACGGGTATAGAGACGGTACCTAATGAAGAGGGCTGGGAAAGGGCGAGGCCTGAGCACGAGGTTCTTCTGCGGCATCCGCTGCCTTGCAGGCTTGAGGACCCGACGTGGGAAGGACCCCGTTAGGCCGGGCGAGGGTCTCTGCGGGGTTATTTATCCCTGCCCTTCTCCGACTACCACAAACACTTTTTAAAAGATTGACAGATTTGTAAAATTAGTAAAATTTCTGTTCATCACAAGACGCCTAAAAGAATAAAATAGACTTCCAAATAGGGCTCCTCAAACAATACCAACTTTGTGCCCTACTCGGGCAGTGTGGGAACCAGAATAGGTGGTGACTTTGGGCACCAGTTAAATCAGCCCCAGGGCAGGAATGGCTCCAGCCCAAGGCTTGGTGGCCAAGCTGAATAACCTAAGGGAAGGAAGGCAGGCTCAGGGTCAACTTGACGAGCACTGTTGTGATCATCCTGTGATCATCCTGTGAGTGTCTGTATGTGTTTACGTTTTTGTGCATCTCCCAATGTCTGCATCCACTTCTCAGCATGGCTCTTGTTTCTCTGTGTATCTATCTATCTCTGGTCTTCGTGTCCATTTATTCAACAAATATTTATCAAGGGCTTATTTTATTTTATTTTATTTATTTTATTTTATTTTTTATTTTATTTTATTTTTTTATTTTATTTTTACGCCTTATAGCACCCAGTCTTCCTATGTGGTCTCTCATCCAAGTACTAACCAGGTTGGACCCTGCCAAGGGCTCATTTTAGTGATTTGGGCCAGGTTTATACTCAGTGACAGGGTTCACACTGGTGAAACAAAGAGTTGAAGTCCCTGCCCTCATGGAGCTTACATTCTGGTTGGGGAGACAGACCATAAAAAGAGGTCAGAAATAAAGTGTTCTGTGTTTGAGAAGAACAAGGTGGGCCAGGTGCTACTTTATATGGAGTGGGCAGAGACTTTGTCTTGTTCACAAATCTAGAACAGTATCTGACTCATAATTGGGGCTCATTAAATGTTGATGAATGCATTTGTTGGTCAGGAGATCCTGCCTGAGGCAATAACTATTGGACAGGGCCTGAAGGATGAGGGGTCAGCCACTCCAGACTCTGGGAAGAGTGTTCTGGACATAGGGAACGGCATATGTCTAATGGGTGGCCTCTTGCCTCTGGTTCTCTGTCTGAATTATTCCTATTACTGTGTCTCTGTTCCTGTCTGTTGTTTTTGTGATCTTGGGAGCCATAGAGTAGGTTTATACAGGGCCCCTCCAGGGTCTCTGGAATCGAGGTCACTGCCGAGCTGATTCACCCCACTGGCCCATTATGGCCTGACCAGTCTGGCATGGCCATTCTCCTGAAAGCAACCCCACCCCCCAGCAGCCTCAGTCCCATGACCTCTGTCTCCTTCCCAGAGTAGTGTCCTGCAACCCGGAAGGAAGTCCTTCATCCTGTCTAACCACAGTCCCTGCTGGGGCAATCCCAGCCCTTTCCTCTCATTCTGCCTTGTGGGCAGCGGGCAGGAGATGGGCTGACCCTGTGGCAGCAGGTCCCACCTGGACAGAGAGCCCACTAAAGGCCTGACAGAGTGGAGGTGACAGCCCCCCTACAGCTCCCGGGAGATAAAACTCAGAGGGGCAGAGAAAATAATTCACCTTAGAAGCCTCTGCCACATCCATTGTCTCATTTAACCGTCAACACCCCATTTTACAGATGGAAACTCAGGCAAACCCAGAGAGGAAAACATGGCAGAACTGGGACCAGAACCCAGGTCTTTTGATGAAATAATAATAATCATAATCAACAACTAATATTTATTGCGCATTGACTCTCTGCCAGGTACAATGATTAAACTTTGTATGCAATTTTCTTTCTTAAGCCTCATCACAACCCTATGAGGTGGGTACCATCCTTATTCCTGTTATCCTCGGATGAGGAGACTGGGGCTCAGAACCATTAAATTACTTTCCCAAGGACACCAGCTAGTTCATGGCAGAGCTACATGTGAGGCCAGGCAGTCTGGCTGCTCAGCTATACACCCTGTGTCCTGAGATTCCAGAATGTTACAGATGTCTGTTTTCCAGGGATTTGGGGAGAAACTTCAGATGGTCCCAAAGCCTACTTGTGCCAAGCCAGGATGAACAGGAAGATGACCTAGGAGCACTGGACAATTTCATGTCCCCTCTCTGAGGGTGAAGATTACCCACCTCTGCCTTCTTTCATGGACTCTCTGTGTTTCTGCACTTCTCTGCTCAAATAAATCCACTTTCATCTCTCTCTGGCTCTCTCCACTTTGGGGAATGATGATCTCAGTTCTCCCCATTCTCACACACTGAGTTAGACTGAGCCCAGGGACGGGGGTATCTGTTGCCACTTCTGATCCTTCTGCTGCACCCATCCCCACCCATAAACCCCCCGGAGGGGCAGGCTGGATGAACCAGACCTGGCTTCTGCTCTCCAGATTCTCACAGTGCCATAGAAAGAGAAAGGCAGAGATATACTCCAGCTCAGTCAAATGCCACAGGAGGGTGACATTAGTTTTTGTAAGACACAGTGGGACCTCTGGTGGGTTGAACAAGCCTTCAAGTGGGGTCCCTTGAGCTAAATCTTGATGGGTGGGCAGGCACCAAGAAAGCATACAAGTGGCATAGCACTCCAGGCAGAATCGGCAACGTGGAGAAAGATTTGGTGATTTGCAGGCTGAAATGGTCATCCCACTGAGGGAATGGTGAGACTGGCAGCCAGTTGGGGTCCGCCTAAAATGAGGCTAGCTGGGCCTGGAACTTCAGAGACCTTGAAGGTCAAACTAGGGAGTTAGACATTCTCCAGGAGGAAGTAGGGAGCCATGAACAAGTTTAAAGCAGGGGAGGGACATGGTGCCATCATGGCATCTCCAGGCCTCAAGCCCTCCTGGCATCTCAGATCCACTCTGGTGGGTAACGAGTCATTTCCAGCCCTCAGCTAGGCCCAAGGCCTCTGGCACAAGTCCCTGTGTCCCTGTGCTCTCCCTTTCACACTCTTCCAGTCCTACTCAGGACTGACACTAAGAGTGGCTCCCGCACAAGCTTCTCTGCAAAGGCTGGGCAGGGGGCGCTGATGGCTAAGGTAGGAGTCTTTGGACTTTTACCTGGACTCATCTGCTCAGAGGTCAACAGCAGCCCTGCTTTCTCACCCCGTAAGACCCACTTATGAGCCATCTTCTGCCCTTTGTGGGATCTCAGTCACATGAACAGGTAACTGCGGGGCAGCCCCACCCCAGCTCCCCACACCCGACGGACTCCTGGAGCTGTCTCCCTTCCTCCTCTACCCCCATCTCCCTCCACAAGGAACCCAGTCCCCATCTCTGGTGCTCTCGGCTCCCTGAATGTCTCTAGACTTGATCTTCTCCTCCTCTACCCTCTGGCCTTGCCTAGTTCAGGCCACTGTTGCCTTGTCTGGACCAGTCTGATTGACTCTTCCCTGGTTCCCTTGCCTCTAACTCTGTCCTCTCTAACTTGTGTCTACCTGGGCCTGTTTTTCTGTGCCTTGTAGATCCCTGTGATCTACAAGGATGATCTCCAAGGGCATCTGGAGCTCTGGAGAGATCTGGGCTGGAGATAGCGATTTCAGAGTCATCAGCATATAGATTCTCTCATAGATACACGTAAAGGAGGAGGGGAAGGTGGGGGGAGGTGTCGAGAGAGATTTTTTTTCTCTTTGTCTCTAACACAGATTTTGCTCCAGACCCACAGACCTCATTTGATCATACTGACATCATGTGATCCTAATGCTATTCCAAAGACACCTCACCCCAACCTGTCCCAAACTGACCTCTCCGTTTCCATGCGTACCCTGCTGCTCCTTCTTTAGACTTCCTGTGTGCTCTTGGTGTCTCTTTCCACCCATTTGTCCAAACCAGACGCTTGGGCACCATCCTCAGTCCTTCCTCCTCATTCCCAACATCCTTAGTCCTTTCCTAAGTTCTGTCACTTCTGCCCCCTGAACACCTCTCATACCGCTCTCCCTCTGTCTTCCTCTATCCTTTAGCAGCATTTGACATGGAGCATCATTCATTCCTTCTGGAAACCATTTCTTGCCTCAGCCTTCAGGATACCCCTGCTCCTGATCTCTTCCTCTCTCGCTGGTCATCAGCTGAATCCTCCCACGGGGGCTCCCCTGTCGGAGTAAATGTTGGAGAGCCCCCAGCGCTATCTTCTTGAGCCATTCCTTCTCTCTAGTGGATCCCATCCAATCTTGTGTCTTCAAATTTGGGACACCCCCCAAACTCCACTTCAGTCCAAGCTTATAGATCGGGTTAACTGCCAGCTTGATATCTCCACTTGGATTCTAATAGGCATCTGAAACTTCAAGGCTGCACTTTTAATCCTCAGTGCTGCATAGATACAATGTCACAGGTGCTGAGTGGGAACCCTAAGCCCAGAGATATGATGGTTGTGGTGGGGAAAACCATACCTTTCTCCTGGGTAATCTGGAAAGTCCTCGGGAGTGGTTTGATCTGGATTTTAAGAGGAGAGTAGAAATTCAGCAAGTAGAAAAGCAGAGAGAGACATTGTAGGGGGAGGGGACAAGCATATTCAGAGGCCCTGAGGTGGGAGAAGCTTAGCGCTCTGAAGAACTAGAATGTCAGTAGAGTTGAAGTTCAGTGAACTGAGGAGAAAAGGAAGGAACTGAGACCGGACACACCAGGGAAAAAAATCCCGGGATGTCAGGCCCCCTGTGCAGATGTCTCGCCCCAGGGAGAGAAGGAGGATTTGTGGATGGACTGGAAGGGGACAGACAGATGAAGTGTGTGTTGGTAGGGGGCTCCAGAGTATGTCTTTATGAAAAAAGTCACTAAAAGGAGGTCCCAGGTGGACACTTCTAGGGTGCAAGAGGAGAGGGCGAGAAGCCTCAGGGTTCTGGAGAGTGGTAGATTCCTTTACCGTTTAAGGAATTGATTGAGCCAAACAAATTCCCTTCTGAACAATTCAGCATCTGGTCGGTCTAAATCTGCCTGGTCAATCCTTCCACTTCCTGCTCCAGAAAAATGTTAATGGAGGGGCTGCAAAGTTATCTCAGGATGGTCCTAGACTCCTACCTCTTCTCCCAAGGGAAGGAAAGGAAGAAAAAGGAAGAGAATGGGCACACTGTTGAGAGCTAACTTTGTGTCAAGCCCTTGTCCATAGTGTCACATCTTTGCACCTAGGGACATTGTCGACTGCTTCCCAGGTACTCTGTGTCTCAGGTGCTCTGTTTTAAGGGCCTTACTCACTAGCACTAGCTCATTTATCTCACAATAACCCTAAGTAATGGGTTCTATTACCATTCCCATTTTACAGATAATACTGAGGTTTAGAGAGGGCCTAAAGCCATACAGCTAAGAGGTGATGGAGCCAGCTCTTCACTGCTACGATTGTCTCAACACAACAACACTGAACCCTTACCACAACCTGAAGTGGCACCCGGTGTCCTTGTTTTACGTTGGCATGATGATACTCAGCAAGAGGAAGGGATTTGTCGGGGTCACAAAGCTAGAAGGTAATAGTGGTTTGGGTCCAGATTATTTGGGAGAAGAGGCTGAATGGGAGAGATGATGATATGAGGTCTGAGCAGTGCAGAGAGAAGAGGGTAGGACTGACGACTGGACTAGAAGAGAATTTCAATTTCTCTTTTAAAGGGACTTCCCCTAAGTAGGGGATTTTGGCTGGAAAGTTGAAAACAATCCACATTACCCGTCTTCCCCAAAGGCACCCAGGATCTGAAAAGAAACTGAAAGTTGGGAAAAGGGGAGAGAAGGGGAAAGAGAGAGGCTCAGGGCAGCCCAGAATAACTGGGTTGAATTTCTGGTGACCTCATCAAGCCGGGGGAGATCGGCAAGCTGGGATTACACATCTCTTGGCTATTGCAGAAAATGAGCCAGAGAGACAGTTCTATTGGATAGTAGCTGGGCCCTGTCCAGTTTATGTAGCCACTCCCTCCAAACAGACCCATACATATGTACACTTAGAGACCAGGGGAAAAAGGAGGGGGAAGGAGAAATAAAAGGTCTGGGCAGTCTAAAATTCTAAAAGGGAACTTCAGAATCCCTGTTCCTGTGATTTGGTGACCGGTTGGATGGTGGGTTCCAGGGAAGGGCCTTTCAGGTGCCTCAGTGTCCAGGCCCAGGTTCAAGGCCTGGCGATTGGCAGGGTGGCTGCAGACCTGGGTTCTGCTGACAACCAAGCCAGAACCCAGCATACCCAAGGTGCTGGCTGGCGTGTCAAGTCCCTGGGGCCCCAGCCCTGCGGCTGCCTTGCCTCTTTACTGACATCCCTCTCTGTTCCTCCCAAACCCAAAACGTCAGAACTCTTTGTGGATGACTCCAACAACCTAACACTGCCGTGTTCCTCAGAGCTCCTGAAAACCCCTTTCTGCTAGTCCTGTCTTCTTCTGCTCACATAGACTCTCTGCCTCTGGGCTTCAGTTTCCTCCTCTATAAATGGGAACTGTGATGGGTATACATCTCACCCAAAGGAGGTAATATATGAAGTGGCATGTAATCAATGCTAGCAGCTATGATTATCTTTACTGTTGGTCATTCCTGCCTTGTTAAAACTCTCCCCAGTGGTAAGGATCTCCATGATTCTGTTCTCTGGGTTTTTTCCTCCCTTCTTTGCTGGCTCCCTCCCAGGCACTCTCCCACTATCTGCTCCTCCAATGGTAGTGCTCCCCACTGCCCCCGGGACTTCCTGGGTGACATCATGTACTGCATGGCTTCAGTTACCCTCTTACAAGTAGCAACCAGAGGCCCAAATTTTGTGGAGTCACTTCTGACTTAAAACCTTCTGTCTGTTGTCCCTGTATGGTCACTAGCCAGGCCAGGCCCAGGCTTTTGTCTGTGTCACATGTCTATGTGCCGAAGCTCCTAGACCTCAGGCTGCCTCCTGGTTATCCCATCAGAGGTTTTCTGAGCACCTCAAATTCATCAACATGGCTAGATTCAGTAACTCCCTCCCAATTCATTTTTCCTGTGATGCCCTGTCAAAGTCAATGGGTCCACTTTGCCAGCTGTTATCCCCAACGGAAATGTGGGCAACAACTTCAACTTTCCCTTCTCTCTACTGCCCCCCTGCACCCAGTCAGTCACTGAATCCTGGGAAGTCTGTCTCCTAAACTTTGCTCCAGATTAGGCCTCTCCTTCCATCCCCACCCTCATGCGAACCATTTGCTGTTTGCAGTTTGTCCTGCTCTAAGCTCTTCCTCCATGCCCTGGCCCACCCACATGCCCCCTCTCCATGCAGCCCACAGACCCCTCACGTGACCCTGGTCTGGTCTTCTCCCCTTAAGGTGCTGACTGTCTCTTCCTTCAATGGGAAACCCCTGAAGGCAGGGCCCTGTGTGACTCACAGCTAACGCTCTGCCTTGGTGGGAGCAAGAGGAGGAACTCTGGTTTGAGTGTGAATCACAGAGCTCAACCTCTCACAGGACAGATGAGCAAACTGAGGCCCAAGAGGAGCGAGGACTGGCTTGTGGTTATAGAGCAGGACGAGGCAGACCTGGGGCTAGAACTAAGGTCTCTGTGTACAGTTGATGCTCCTCGGAAGGAGATGGGGCCCTTGGGGCTGAGAACTGGGCTGTGCCAAGTCACCATTCCTGAGGCCTCTCTTGGGACCTAGGCATTCTCTGATATCTCTTCCCAACTCTGAGACTTTCCCTCCACTAGCAAGGCCCATCCTCCATCTCTGACTAGATAATGCCCGCTCACATCTCACCCGGCATCTGATCTGATCCTCCAGAGATCTCAGAATGCCCCTGACCTCCTTTATGGGGCAATATTCTCTGCTGCCATCCTCTACCTTCAGCCCCACCCTGTGTCTCTCTGAGGTCTCAGGAAATTCATTCCCTTTGTTCATGGGGGCCAGGAGCATCTCAGGGCAGGGGCAGGGTGGGAGTCCTTACCAGAGAGCTGGGACAGATGGGGGATGTGTGGAAACATGGAGTTTCTAGTCTTGGCAGCATTCCTTCCCCCGTCCCTTCCAGAGTCACCCTGTCCTTTCCATTCCTCCTTTTGCTGCCACTCTTCCTGGCTAAAGCTCACACCTCAAAGTTCTGACCGCCACCACAGCCTCAGTGACCCACTGAGGCACACACAGCTACCCATGGGGACATTGATACAAAAAAAAGTATTCACTCTGTCATCCAAACACTCATAGACATTCTCTCACACAGCCACACACACTCATAGTTATACACACAGTCACAGTCAGACAACAGTCACCAACACACAATCTCAAGGACAGACAGGCACACACCTAGAAAGTCCCAAAGTCACCAAGAGTCACCAAGCCTTTCTCTCACCCTAAATATACAAAGTCAAACAATAATGCAGATTCACACAACCACAACTGTACACACCTGGTCACACATACACACACAGTCGAAGTCTCTCACACAGACAGACACAGAGCAATACAGTCACACACAGAGAGAAACAGACACACACAGTTGCACACAGGCCCCTGGAGACACAGAACAATGGGCGCATTGTCTGGGCTGGCAGCAGCTGGGGAGGAAGGAGCTGCAGTGTGGACTGAGGAGGCCGTGGGGGCTGCTGTACCCACCCCCTTCACCCCCACAGCATCCTAAACCGTTTCCCTCTTCCAGAAGCCAGCTTCTGCTGGGACCTGGATTTGCTGACGGATTATGCTCCCAGGCAGCCCCTGCCCAGCCCCGTCGGATGTCTGGTGGGGGATGCAGGGGCTCCTCTGTGTACCAGGCTCCCTTTGAGGCTCTGGGAATTCAGGGTCCTTCAGCCCTGATGCTCCACCCTCCTCCTGGGATCATCCAGGCATTTCGCCTCCCATCCCCACAGAGCAGCACCTGGAAATCGGCAGCCTTGAGATCTGCTCTTAACCTCTGACTCAGCCCCTCCAAGACTCATATACCCTCCGTCTGAGCCCTGCCAGCCTGCCAGCTGGTGCGGGCAGTGCCTGGTAGCATTGTGGGTTCCCTATTGTAGCCGAGACAGAGATGCAGGTCACAACACCCATCCCTTAGTGGAGAAGTCACTGTCCTGTCACTGAGCTGCAGTGAGGCATGGCGCCCTTTCTGTCCCAAAGCTAGCTCTTCTTGCCTCCCACTCTGACCAGGCAGCCCCAGATCTCAACAGAGAATTCTTTCAGGGGTTTCCTTACAGCTCCCAGCCCATTTTAGCAAGTCTCTCTGCTCTTTCTCACCTTCAGCTACTGGTATCTGTTGTGTGCCCTTGTACATGTCACTTTCCCTTTCTGAAAGTGTCCCAGTCTGTAAAATGGGGGGGGGGGGTTGTCCCTAATGAAGCTGAAAGTATTTTGTAGTCTCCAAATGGGGGTGAGGATGGAGGATACAGGAGAGTGCTGAATGTAGAAGCCACCTCAGCCCTTCCCTGCTCCTCGTAGTCAGATCTGTGGGGAGTTCCTGA